GAGGAAAAAGCCATAGATGAAGAACCTATACATATGGTTAATCTAGAGGTAGATTCCATCCTTGAAGATCTTTATGGAGAAGTCATAAAGGATATGAATGTAGGTACTGATGGTGAAGGTGTGAACAATAATGGTGTTGAGGGTATGAATGTAGGTGAGAGTGTGAACAATAATGGTGTTGAGGGTATGAATGTAGGTGAGGGTGTGAACAATAATGGTGTTGAGGGTATGAATGTAGGTGAGAGTGTGAACAATGATGGTGAGGTTCATGATGGTATAAATACTAATGCTGGTTTGTTGAATGAGGTTACAAGCTTTGATGACAGTGAGGATGAGAGTTACAATTATGATAGTTCTTTGGAAGTTACATTTAGTGATCTGTTACGAGTGTGGATTATTCTGAAGAACACTTAGACAATCTTGTTAAATATGATGGAAACCATGAAGGAACAAGTAAAAATAAGAAAAAGAAATGGGAAGGAGACAGCGGAGAGGAGAATGGAAGTTTATATGAAAGTGAAGAGTTAGATAGTGGATGTGATAGTGAGGAAAGTGATGCACCAAGAAAGAAGAAGTATCCCATTTTTAAGTTAATGAAAGATATGGCTCATTATAAATGGGAGTTGGGAACTTATTTTAACTCAAAAAGTGACTTTAAGGAAGCAATTCAAACGTATGCTGTACAATCTGGTAGAGGTCTTAAGTTTTTGAAAAATGACAAAAAGTGAGTGAAGGTGGTGTGTAAGGAAGGTTGTCAGCGGGAGGCATATTATGGAAAGATGCCTAATGAGAAGACTTGGCAACTTAGGAAAATAGTTGATAATCACAATTGCTCTAGGGAATACAATGTAAAGATGATGAGTACAAAATGGCTTAGCAAAAGGTTACAAAATTCACTGGAAAATAATCCTAAGCTGAAACTATAGGATATAAAGGAAAAGGCTAAAAATAAATGGAATGTGGGGGTTAATAAGACAAAGGCAATTAAGGCCAGATTTGCAGCTAGGGATATGGTTGATCATTTTAGGGGATTACACAAGGATATATGATTACTGTCATGAAATTCTAAGGACCAATCCTGGTTCAACTGTTAAGTTAAATGTCACACTAGTCCAAGAAAGTGTTGAGGATAGAAGGCCTTATTTTAATAGGTTATATATTTTCTATGTTGTTTGCAAAAAGAGTTTCAAGTTGTGTAGGCCTATTATTAGTCTTGATGGACGCTTCTTAAAGGGGCTTTGTGGATGTCATATTTTGGAAGCTATTGGTACAAATCCCAATGACCAGATGTTACCTATAGCTTTTGCTGTAGTGTAAGGGGAAACTAAAGACAGTTGGTCATGGTTCTTGGAACTTCTCATTGATGATCTAGGTGGTAGGGAAGAATGCAGAAAATATACATTCATTTCTGATTAGTAAAAGGTATCACTATATTTTTTTTTTTACATTTTTAGTTAGAGTATGATGTGTCTAGTAAATCTATGTAGTCACCATCATTTGGTTTAATTTCGCAAGGTCTTCTTCCTATAATGGATGAATTACTACCCAATGTTGAACAAAGAATTTGTGTAAGACCTACAATAATTTCAGGAAGAAGTATCTAGGAAAAATGTTGAAGAAGATAATTTGGAAGCTGCTAGGGCTACCTACCCACAAGCATGGGAAAGGGAGATGAGAGGTATGAGACAGATACATCAAGAGGCTTACAAGCACATGACGCAGACTCCACCAAGATATTGGAGCAAATCATATTTTAGGACAACTTCAAAGTGTGATTCTGTATTGAATAACATGTCAGAGGCTTTCAATAATGTGATTGTAGAGTCCAGAGCAAAGCCATTGGTGACCATGCTAGAAGAAATAAGCGGCTACATCATGGAAAGGTGGGCAAAAAATAGGGTGAAATTCTCACAATTAAATAATGGGGATGTTTTTACAAACATTAGGAAGAAAGTGGAAAAAACAAGCACTTTCACAAATTACTGGATAGTAAGGTACAAAAACTACTTTAATACAATTTCTTAATTTCTTTAGTTTTTATACTTTATGTGACTTTTTATACTATTTTGTAGGATGTCATCTGAATTTATATTTGAAGTAAGACACATTGAAAATCAATGTGATATTTTTCCTGTTAACTTAAAGGAACATGATTGTTCATGCAGAAAATGGCAATTGACAGGTCTCCCTTGTGTTCATGCTCTGTCTGCAATGAAGAGTAGAAATTCTAAGTGTTGATGATTACATCCTAGAGTATTATAATAAGGTAAGGTATATTTATGTTTATGAACCTATTATTTATCCTGTTAATGAGACAAATTTATGGGTCAGAACAAAGTACCCAGATATGCAACCACCAAAATTCAAAAAAATGTCAGGAAGACCAAAGAAGAAGAGGAACCATGAGCAGGGTGAAATTGATGGGACATATAGAAAAATGAGAAAAACTGGCATGATACTTAGGTGTACAAGGTGCAGACAGACTGGACAAAATAAATCCACTTGTAAGAGGACTCAACCACCAATAGAAGAAACTCAGCTAAGGGCAACACCCACACCAACTCAAGCAAATCAGCCATGGGCAACATCCACACCAACTCAAGCAAATCAGCCATGGGCAACCCCAACCCCAACTCAAGGAAGTCAACCAAGGGCAACACCAACCACAACTCAAGGAACTCAACCAAGGACAACACCATTGCTAACTCAAGGAACTCAGACAAGGGCAACCCCAACTCAAGCAAGTCAGCTTAGGACAACACCAGCACAAGCAAGACCACAGAAGTTGCCTTTTAGGAAACCAAGACAAACATCTGTTACAAAGGCTTTTGTTTCAAGGGGAATAACCACCAGACTAAATGTATCACAAAATGCAGTGGAACCTACAACTAGGAGGACTACTCCAACCAAAAGAAACAACACAAGGAAACCCATTTAGATTTATGTAGTTTCTATTTTAAGAACATGGTTGATGTTATGTTGTTTTGAAATGTTTATGTTATGTTGTTTTGAAGTGTTTGTGACAACTTATGTTGATATTAAGTGTCTGTAACAAATATGTTATGGTATTTTGAACAAGGTTTATGTTATGTTCCATTTGAACAAGGGTTATGTTATGGTATTTTGAACAAGGTTAATGTTATCTTCCATTTCTCAAATTTGAACAAGGTTTATGTTGATCAAGTTTCTGCTATACGAAAGTTATGTTATTTAACTTGTCTAACTAAATCATATAACAACAGAACACAAACTTTACTACAATGCAATTTTAACTTGTCCAACTAAATCATGTAACAAAAAAACACAACTAACTTGGAAACTTTGAATAATGCAAGTTTTACTACAAGTTAAATATTAAAACAAAGAACAAAATACTTCAACCTCTCACAACAACTTGAACTCTTTTACAACAATTTGATTACTAAAAAAAATAAAACAACATAGAACATAAACTTCCAGGTCTTCTTCCACTTGATGGTTTTCTTTAAAGCATCCTCTAATTCCATATTATTGAGCCTCAAAATTTCAACCTCTTTTTTGGCTTCTTCCATCTCTTGACTAAGCACATCTATCTTCCAATGATTCTTCATCAGGGTTTGTTCCTTTTTACCTCTACCTTCTTCATAGAAGCATTAAAAAAAATTCACAACCAACATTGATATATCCCTGTAGAGATTGAGAAGCAAATTGCAATGAATTACATAGACATTTCAACAACATTCAACTTATCTTATTCAGACTAAACCTTACCTTAAAATGTTGACAGCCCCAATTTTTTTTTATTATTGTTGACAGTTCTTGCCTTACGAAGTATAGCATTGTCTCCACAATGACATACAGGCTTCCATGAAAGATTAGAGCTGCTAAAGACTTGTAAATCACTTCGGTTTCTAGATGATGATGACAAACCGTGCATAGAACTCATGATTAGATGATGATTTATGTTTCAATTAGGGGATTTTGGGAAGCGTTTCGCGTTAGGGTTGAATTTGGGAGAAAATACAAAAGTGTTTCAACAACAAGGAAGAAGAAGGTGATGAATAGACATTCCACCAATCTGCCTCAACTTTCACGTTATCTAAATTAACGCCGTTAGCCAGTTTTTGATAGAAATGACCACTTTGGTTCTGTTAGACAATGTAAGTGACCAATTTAAAACTTTAAAAATAAAGAGGACTAAAATGGACGCCGATGCATAAACAGAAAACCAAAAAAAAGTGTTAAGCCTTTTGTTTTTTCATAAATACTTCCTATATATTGAGCTTTTGACTTACTAATTGGTATTACAATTTTTACTTTATTAGTAATTCTTTCCCCTTTATTAGTGCAGTATTATTTTTATAATATAAATTGGGTTTAATTAGCCGAATATGACTATGACTACATTGACTACATATAGATGGCTACACAGGTTTTAAAACATATTGCACTCTTAGATGTTTGAATTCAAATCTTACTTAAACTAAAACATTCTTTATTATCCTACAACCAAAAAAAACCTCAAAAAATTCGTGTAATTTTATTCTAATATTGTTGAAAATATTGCATGTTTAGAAGTTTGAATTCAAAGCTTTAACTTAAATTAGTCATTCTTTATTCTCGTGTAAAAAAAAAAAAAACTCAAAAAAATCAAGTTATTTTATTCAAATACCCTTTAGAAATATTGCATTTTCAGAGCTTTGAATTCAAAGCTTTTATAACTACCTTTCACATTTCATTTTTGTCTTTAACTGTAACACATTATTCAGTACTTACAAAATTAGTAGTTTTAATTTATTCTTCTAAACAAGTTTCAAAAAGACCAAATGCAATTTCACAAAGACTCACTCTCTTTCTTTTTCCACTCTTTTATTCATATATAAATACACAAAGAAGAAAACATCACAAAACCTTTCTCCACCCACTCAAAAGAAGAAAGAAAAAAAAAAACATAAACCAATAATTTCATATTTTGCATCAAAAATCTTGTTTTGTTCTTCAAAACAACCTTAATTATTGTCATGGAAAATCAAATTGAAGTAGAACATCAACAACAAAAACCTTCACAACCATCTTCTCCATCTCATGAATTCTCCTTCACAATCTCTCACAACACATTCAACAAATCATTCTTAAATTCCAACAATAAATCAAAACCATCTTCACCAAATTCCTTTACAGCCCTCGATTTAACACCAGCTGATGATATTTTTTTCCACGGTCATTTACTTCCTCTCCAAATCCTCTCGAATTTCCCTTCATCGATATCGCCTCGCGCTTCGATGAACTCCTCGGACAGTTTCACTCTCCCTATTAGAGAATTATTCTCAGAAGAAGATGATGACGAAAATCTCCCCTCAAAAGAGAGTAGCATCAAGAACATGGAATCATCGAAAAAGGTAGAGGGTAAGTTCAAGTTTGCATTTTCATTGTTTAGTTCAACAAAAGGGAGAAAAGGGTGTCATAAAGAGAAAGAAAAGAACAAAAAGAAGATGAGATTTGATTTTCATGTGATTCATCATGCAATGAAAAAGTACTTAAGAATGGTGAAACCACTTTTCAAAAAAGAGACAATTAGAGTTCATGATAAAAAGTGTTATTCTTCTTCCTATTCAGGAAATGTAACACCTAGAAATAAACAAGAGTTGATGAAAAGTTGGAAATTAGAACAATATTCATCAGCACCAGCATCTATGAGAAATTCTCCATCAAATAGTGGTGTTCTGTTTCCAACTACACCTCTAACTCCTGTTAGTGATAGTTCCATGGAAGAATTGCAAGCTGCTATTCAAGCTGCAATTGTTCATTGCAAAAATTCATATTCAAAAGATGAGAAACTGAATTGCTGATTTCATGAATCTTAGAGATTTTTTGTCACTAGAACTATAATTTCACGGTTATATTTTGATTATTGTGTATATAAATAATGAGATTCAAAAGAGAATATGATAGTATGATTTATTAGAGAAAATAAATATTTTGACGGAGATCACTCATTCTAATACTAGTTTTGTTAATTGTTGAAGTAAGTGTTATTTGTTTTATCAGTTGAAATCGAACTTGGTATTTGTGTGATGTTTTAGAAGCTAAATTGTGTCAATTTTTTTTCATCTTTAATGTTCTATGACATTATTCTTGGAAATCCATAACAACCTTTGAGCATTTGTGTGGCTATGTTTTTCTATCAATTTCCTATGTGGTGTGGTATTTTGTTTTCCTTCAATAAGAATTGTTATTAAGAAAGGCAAACCAATTAAGGCTATTATTCAATACATTATGGCCGAAAGTGAAAACTCTCACTCTCAACTCTTTGTAAGAGAACATCACCAACTTATACTTGTTGGTTAAATTATCATAACCAAATGAGAATTTGCAATAGGAATTTGGATGGTGAAAAGTAAGAGGCAAAGAGGTTAGGTTTTCATAGAATGGGTTGGTTGCTGGATTCCATAGATAAAATTCATTCTCACTAGAATTGAGAAAACAGATCAATCTATTGTAGGAACCAATAACACGGTGGCGATGAGGCAATTTCATGGATTGGTATTTAGAATCTATGGTGAAGAAATAGAATTGTAGATTCTGAAGTAGGCTTACGAGGAAGACAAATATGAAATTGTTGATAATGTTTGATGGGAACAGAATGATGTGTGGATTTCGTGGACATTTATGTAAAATTTTATACTTTTAGATTTAAAAGGTATAGTTTTTGCAGTTGTTTTCCACCTTCCTCTCACTTTTTTGATGGACGAATTTAGATTTTAAACCCACATTTTCAACTATAGCCGCGCCATCGGTTTACCGTGAAAATTGGTAAACATCCGCTGGTCTTTCAAAAAATTGGTTTATTTGCAGGATTAACTAGTGAATACGAAGAACATAGTTATTGTCTCAATATATTTTTGGAAAACTGATGAACACTTCGACAACATTCATTTGCATAAAAGATTGTTTTGATTGTATTGAAAAAAGATAAACTTTATAAAGTTTGATAAGGATAACGCAATGAAGAAAAGAATTTAAAGTAAAAGTGCAGTAAAAAACAATTGATAAATGAAAGTAAATTTTTATTGAAATGAAATAAAATGTGGTGTTTCACACATACATTCTCAATAGTAACTCTTTTGTTACTTTGACTCGGATACTTTGAGTAAATTATGAGTATCGTACAACAAATGAACACATAGAAATCCTAGTACTAAAACCTCTATTTATAATACGCCGAAATAACTGTCTTCAATGAGTATTTCTCCAAAAGTTGACGCGTTTCGTCTTGCATGCCTTCGTTTCACCATAGTTCACCACACATCTCTCCTGAGAAACGGATAAGGACAAAAGACATTTATTTATCCGTATTTTGAAATTCAAATTTATGTCAAAGGAAGACTTCAAAACATCCCTTCATCGAATTGACTTTTTACACTTAGACAATATTCCTAAGTGTTTGTCCAAACACATTTACTTTATAAGAACCACGTCGATAAAGCTTCATATCAACTTCTGCCGAAGTCAGCCAAATTTGAGAAAATTTTAATTTTCACTTAGTTTCTTAAACGAAAACATGGCGTCGAAATTCTCAGCCAATAAATTGCCCTCCAAAAATGTCATTTTTTACTGAAATGGAGAATGAAGTTCTATATTCGACGCCAGAAATCTTTGGACTGCTATGACGTCATCATCATCAAACAATTTTTCCCAAAACGTCTCCTCAAACCCATGCGTGAATCTTTTCAATCATAACACATCTAGTCCCTAAGAGATCATGGATCAGGTTTTAACTACTACCGTCTCATCACACAATCCTCACATGACATGTGTCCCACAATTTTTATCACCATTAATGTTGTACAGTAACCGCTCCTCTTCATTCACCTATAAAATAGTGAAAATAACCATTTTCACACCTTTCACTCTCTTAACTCTCTCAAGCGTATTTCCTCAAATCTTCATTTCTTTTAAATCTTCTTTTTGCAAACTCACTACAACAATGGCTTCTTCATCAAAAATCTCTAAAGAGACAAGCAAAAATACCAAAGAGTCCAAGAAATAAAAGAACTTGCTCCAGTCCATAGAATACTGGGTCCAAATGTGGTAGGTAACCAACAATATATCCCTGAGCCTCCAAATGAAGAGGAGAAACACATGATATATCAAACACAGTTACTCATTCTTGTTCTTGTTTCTGGTAAGACCAATGCTATGTTAGGTCCTCTCCCTAATCTTGCTGCTGACCCTGCTAAGGTTAGAAAATTCTTTCCTGCTTACCACTGTTACAAACCCATAACCAACAGTTTAAAACCTAGGACTACTGAAGAGATTAAGATTGATGAGAAAGAAAAGTTTGATGGTCAAGGTTCTCCTTCGACCATAGCTTATAGGGATCCAATCAACTTAGAGTTTATGAACACCAGTTTTAGGGTTTTCATGTCATGTCCTTTGTTTAAAGACCTATCTGATTACATAGCTTGGTTAGAAAAAATAAAAAAAGCAAAGTCCCAAGTCTGGAAAGACATGGGCATCTTCGATCTAATTCAGCTGTCGAAGGTGGGGTCTAGTTATTTCCCATTTATGCTTATTGCTTCCCTTTATTTTTGGATAACACCCACAACAACTTCCAACTCCCTTGTGGAATGGTTACCCCTGCTTTGTTTGACGTCACTTTCATTAAAGGCCTCAAACCTATTGGAGTAGATTATGATTCTACCTTTTTAGCTGATGACTCAATACGTTTCGACACCAACAAGACAACTCTTACCACATACATTGTCTACTACCATGACAAAGAAACCAAAGAAGTTTCTGACCAAGAACACGTTGCTTTCCTGGCTCTTTGGCTTTCTCGCTGTATTTTTTGCTCAAGGTTTCTTCAAGTGGCAAAGAGTTACCTGACCATGGCCAACCAACTGCATGCTGGACATGATATTTGTCTCAGCGAAATAATTCTAGCCATCCTTTACGAACCCCTTGGCGAAGGCATCACAGCGGGCGCGTTACGCCATCATTACTTTAACACAGGCGCATAACTTTTATGCGTAGGCGCGTTACAAGCAACGTGTGCGCTTTATGGGCTCGTAAAATCCATAAGCTTCAACGTGCTTTTGATTTTTTTCCATCAATTTTCTCACTAAGTCCCTTTCTTCACCCAAAAGCTCTAAAAATTGCTCTAAACGTCACTTTTTGGTCTTGAAAGTAGAACCCCTCTTCTCTCACTCTCTCTGTCTGCCTCTCTCTCTCTCTCTCTCTCTCTCTCTCTCTCTCTCTCTCTCTCTCTCTCTCTCTCTCCCTTTTCCTTATAAAGCTGCTGAAAAACGTGTCAGGCCATCACATACAATGCGGACACGCTACTTATCAACGTGGGCATGTTACACCATCATTACTTCAATGCGAGCGTGTTGCTTTTCTACGCAAGCGCGTTACAGGCAGAGTGTGCGCATTATGGATGTGTAAAATCCAGGGGCTTCAGCGTGTTTTTGATCCTTTTTCACCAATTCTCCCACTAAGTCCCTTTCTTCACCCAAAAGCATTTTTCCAGCTTTTTCACTTAACTGCTTATAACTTGCTCAACTCTTGTTAGAATTCGACGATTTTTTTGTTGCTAAACGACGTGCACTGATAGCCCGCCATCAATAATCATCAAACATCACATCCATATCTCTATGTTTCATAGCGAGACACTACTATAAATAATATATTTCATGATGAAACTTTCACCTCACCCAACAAAAAATCAAGCTGTAAACAATAAACACGACATATTTTAATTTTAAAAAAATACCATATATTCCCTCAGTTGAGCAGGAATCCGAGGGATAAATTATTTCGAGGGTACATCTTCGAATCCCAACAACTACATTTGATCACCTTTTAATTCAAAAAAAATTATGACCTGTTACCTCGGTTTTGCTGAAAACTCTGGGATAAAGTAATGTATTTTATTGTATTTTTTATTTTTTATTTAGTTATGATCAATTTGATGAAAACATTAAGTAAAAAATCTTTGCATTCCATTTATAAAGTAACAATGATAAAGACATTGACAAATCATCAATCTACAAGAAACATTAGTGATCTGTATGAAACTCTCACTAGCTAATCAAAACGTGAATGCCATAACTTACTATCTTGGATGCAAAGTGATGGAATTTAAACTTAACATTATTGAAAACAATGATAATGAAAGCAAGAGCAGACAAATATTTACTAGTTAGTTTCTTAATGTAGCATTTTCTCCAATACTTCTTGTTAAAAATGTTTAATGTTAGTAAGGAAAACATGGAAGTAGCTTGTTAATGTTAGTTGTAGTTGTATCAAGTAAAATATTTAATATTGTTGTTGTTATTGTTGTTGTTGTTAAAATGTAGTATTTAACAATTCTATTGATTTTGTTTATTTGTTGTTGTTGTTGTTGTTGAGATTTAATGTTTAAAGGTTCCATGAATTTTGTTTATTATTATTATTATTATTATTATTATTGTTGTTGTTGTTGTTTTTGTTGTTGAGAATTAATGTTTAAAGATTCTATTGATTTTGTTGTTGTTGTTGTTCTTATTATTATTGTTGTTGGTAATGATGAGGAAGATTTAGAATTTGACAACAAATTGATAATTTGCAGATTAGAATGAAAAAAAAAGGTTAAAACTAAAATTTTGCAAATTAGAATGAAAAAAAATTGGTTAAAACTAAAATTTTTTGAAAACAGGAATTTACCCCTCGGTTATGGATAAAAATCGAGGTAAAAAGTAACACAATTTTGAAAATCTAAAAAATGCAGTTGCTGGGGATCAGATTCATGACCAATGCCACTTTTCACCTCGATTATTCAAAAATCGAGGTGTAAAGTGGCAGGTTTTCATGTCACCTTTCATTACTTTGCATCTATTATCGAGGTTATATCCCTTTGCATCCGAGGTAAAATGAGGTTATTTGTAGTAGTGGAAGGAGCAGATGCATAAGGGTCTTTGAGAATAAACTGCATGTAACCGAACTGTTGCATGCCATGCTCAGGAAGATGAGGATACACCATATGAGAACTACAAGCCAATATTCCCGAGTATAAGGATATGTCGTCAAAGTGATGCGCTTCACGGTGAGTGACGTAAAAATGGAAGTGTATGTCCTCTACTACCAAGTGGTCAAAATACTCTCGATATGACTCCATCGCCTGATTTCCTCTGAGCGGGATGAATGTAGAAGCACGTGGCATATCCTTAGTGTATGTCAGAACATATGAGTCATTACTAATGACGTTGCAAAAGTGTTAAGAAAATGACACACAAACACTAAAATAATAGAAATATTACTGCCAATAATGTGATGCTTCCTATCACCTGTTTGGTCTTCCACATACAGTTTTCGGATAACTTATTGTACATGTAAACCAAACAAGTGCCCCTCAGTTGTACTCATGGATCTGCTCGAAGTCATCGAATTATCCAGGTAGATGACATCCACATAAGTGACACTCTTTTTCACAAGAATGGACGCGCGCCAATCAAATACAATATGTATGTTCTTAGAGCATATGCTCTATGTTGCACAACCTTCTCGTCATCACCTGCGGCCTCCTCTGCCGCATGTAGCTACTGTGTATACAACCTTTCAAGAAATCTAAACCTAGCATTAATGAGAACTTCTCCATCAAATATTGGTGTTTTTTTTTCAACTAACCTCTAACTACTACCGCTAGTGATAGATCCATGGAAGAAAATTATCATATATCAATTTTAGTGTACTTAAAAGAGAATTGATATATGATTTATTAAAGAAAATAAATATTTGTGCCATTTTTTATGATTATGCATCAAAGTGAGTATGGATGAGTTTACAATACTCACATACTCTGTGTATACACGGAGATCATTCGTTTTAATACTAGTTTTGTTAATTGTTGAAGTAAATTTTATTTGTTTTATTTGATGAAATCGAACTCGGTACTTATTAACTTTCTAGAAGTCACATGTGTCATTTTTTATCTTTAATGTTATCTATGACATTGTTGTTGGACATCCATAACTACTTCTAAGCGTTTGTGTGGCCAACATGTTATTTGTTTTTCTTTCAATTTTCTTAATGGTGTGTTATTTGTGTTTCCCTTCAAAACCATATCCAATATTAGTAATGAAACTTATTCTCAACAGAATGTGAATGAATGTTAAAGAGTTACTAAGTTTCAACAAAAAAGACTTTTAAAACATAAATTTTGGCACCAGACTAGCAATACCACCAATTACAGGCGGTAATTGGTTTACAAGTAGCAATCAAATAGAGAATGATAATCAAATTTAAGCAATTTACTCCAAGACTTTTCAACTTCCACGCAAACAAAGGTGAAAAGAGCCTAGGTTTGAAAACGGGATGGTTGCATGGATTCCATAGATAAAATTCATTCTCAAGTGGTTGCATGGATTTCATAGATAAAATTCATTCTCAAGTGGTTGCTGTGGTTGCTGGATTCCATAGATAAAATTCATTCTCAAGTGGTTGCTGGTCGCTAGATTTGTGGAAGCAAATCAATCCATTGCAGGAACCAATAACACTGTACGGATGACGCCATTTCATCAATTGGTATTTAGAATCTTCTTTCAAGTAAACAGCTTATGGGTAAAACATAGACTGAGACAGATATGGAACTGTTGAGCAAGTGTGACGAGAATAGCATGATTTTGCCATGGCACAAAGACTAAAGAATACAAGTGAAATTCACAGAACTTGCTCAGTCACTAAAAGTGTGCATAGATACATGACATAAAAACGATTATATTTCTCTGTTATAAGTTGATTGTTGAGCTATAAGTTGATCGAAATGTGACACAATAAGGCGAATGAACCAAATAAAATAGAAAAACAAAAACAAAGAGAGTGCAACTGGTGCAGACTTATAAAACAAAGTAATAGGATCATCCAGTTTATTCTACATATACCTAATAAGAATGTTTTGAAGCATTAAACAACATATATGAACTTTCATAAATATTTTAAAAAGTAAATTGGTAGAGAAACTTATTTTAAAAAGTTGAAACTAAACTTTCAACATAAGGGATGACATGATACAAATATATGTTTTTGCAAAATATAGATTTTCCTACTACTCTCTTATCTCGCATATTATATCGAATTAGTTCTCCAGCTTCTCCAATATCTGATACATATGCCAGCAAATCCCCGTTCTCGAAAATGTGTAATGGCAACAAATAGAGAATAATACGGTAGCAATCAGGTAGAGAATGATAATCCAATTTAAGCAATTTAGTCCATGATTTTTCAACTCCAAATTCCGCCATCCGCCATATAACCAAACTATCTTCCTTAGTATAAAGATGAAAACATAGACTGTCCATCAACTTGCAAACAGTTGGATGAAGAGATGGTATTTCATCAATGTCCCGGGGGAATTGAAACTTTGTATATGTCTCCGTTCCCAAATCAAGTGAGATAATAGCGAGTTGCTCAACATTAAGATCTTGGTTGTTATAATAACCGTGGTTATCGAGAAGAGCAAACCAATTAAGACTATTACTGACATAGACACCATCACCCCCAATGCGATCTATAAAGATCTTGCTACTATAGGGATAGACAGGAAAACACTGAATATTCTTCCAAACATTATCCCCTATAGTGAAAACCCTCACCTCTTCTAAAGAGAACATCACCAACTTATACTTGTTGGATAAATTATCATAACCAAATGAGAATCTGTAATAGATTTTTTCATGCCGTAAAGGAAGGGGATAAGAGACCACGTTTTCTGAGAATGGCTGTGTGGTTGCTGGATTCCATACATAGAATCCATTCTCACTAGAATTGAGTACACAGACCAATCCATTGCAGGAACCAATGAGGCCTTCGCGATGACACAATTTCGTCAATTGGTATTTAGAATCTTCCTTCAAGATATTGATCGATGGATTCTCAAGGAAACCGCTTATGGGGAAGATATTAAATGAAACAGATATGGAAGTGTTGAGAACATGTGACGAGTATAGCATGATGTGTGAAATTCGTGAAGAGTTATCAACGTGCATTTTAGCGAAGAAGGAATCGGAGATGATTGAGTTCCAACACTTACTCACACATTTGAGTCGCGTCACTGATTTCACGTTAAGCCGGGATAGAACTTCCACGATGAGTTCTTCCGGTAGTGTTACTGACGACGGCGCGTTGATGTTGAGCCGGGATAGAACTTCCACGATGAGTTCTTCCGGTAGTGTTACTGACGACGGCGCGTTGATTTCATGCCGCAAATTTGATGTAAGAACGATACTCATCATAGAACAGTGTGTTGAAAAGTTAAGCCCTAACAAATATTTAAATGCGAATAGAATAAAGAAACTGATTTTTATATTTTTATGGAATGGATAGGATTCAAAATTATAAAACTTAGATTTTTATATTTTTATGGGATGGATAAGATTCAAAATTATAAAACTGATTTTTATGGGATGGATAGGATTCAAAATTATAAAACTGATTTTTATATTTTTATGGGATGGATAGGATTCAAAATTATAAAGCTGATTTTTATATTTTTATGGGATGGATAGGATTCAAAATTTTATAACTGATTTTTATGGGATGGATAGGATTCAAAATTATAAAACTGATTTTTATATTTTTATGGGATGGATAAAATTCAAAATTATAAAACTGATTTTTATATTTTTATGGGATGGATAGGATTCAAAATTATAAAACTGATTTTTATATTTTTATGGGATGGATAGGATTCAAAATTATAAAACTGATTTTTATATTTTTATGAGACGGATAGGATTCAAAATTTTAAAACTGATTTTTATGGGATGGATAGGATTCAAAATTATAAAACTGATTTTTATATTTTTATGGGATGGATAGGATTCAAAATTATAAAACTGATTTTTATATTTTTATGGGATGGATAGAATTCAAAATTATAAAACTGATTTTTATATTTTTATGGGATGAATAGGATTCAAAATTTATTTGATTTACTCACATGTAATTTTACGCCAAAATAATTTGTTAAAATAATTCTCGATCATTATTAGATTAATAATAAATTCTTTTAGAGATTAATAGGAATCCACTTTGTCATTCCATTAAAATTATTCTCGTGCACCTGTTTTAGGTTACCATTGCCTCCTTATTTTTTATCCTTAATTTTATCTTTCACTTCATCCACAGTAGAGGTGATGGTTTTATCGTTAATTTTTTATTTAAAATTATCACTCTAACAAAATAGCAGTTATTTAAATACGAATATAATAATAATAATATATGGCAAATTTTTAAATACCTATAACCTATTCTAAATAGTTAGATATCGGTCCCTTTAGTACAAACTAATTTAAAATATTAATTTATTTTTAAATAAAATAAATATAAAAAATAATTTAATATCCAACTAAATTTAAAAGTATCGGAATATTCACATGCAAATATAATGTTATATTTTTATGGTTGGTTAGGATTCAAAATTTATTTGATTTCCCCAAAGGTAATTTTACACCAAAATAATTTTTAAAAATAATTCTTAATTATTATTCCTTTAATAATCAATTCTTTTAATATTAATTCAAATTATTCTCTCAACAATGTTGGTTTTAGAGTGTATTAAATTGATATTTTAAAGAACATTTAAAGATTTTTGTATAATAATAAAAAAAACTTATTGTGTATTTAATCAATATTTTTATAATACTCAAACAAATTTTGTGGTAATCAATTAAGATTATTTTTATTTTTATATTTTGGTGATAAACTGTCTTGTTACTCCATCGATATATTTTTTATAACTAAAAAATGTCTTTTGGTATTTCAAAATCTTTAAGTTTTACTATATTCTTAGATGGAGTAAATTTTGAAATATATTTTAGTTTAAAATACACATTTCAACAATCTCATTCATATTTTTTAGAAACTCTTTTGAAAATTTTTCTTTCATCATGTTTTATGCAATATGATTTTATTTTTCTATTTACTTTTTTCTCTATCATCATATGTCATGTTGTAGTACTTTTGTTTTATTTTTATTTTTCTATCATCATCTTTAGAATTTTTTACTCAAATAATTCAATTTTTTTAAAAAAATCTCAAAATAATCCACCTTTTAAAATTATTTTCAAAGTATCTCAGTTAAAGTTTGGGGTTACACAATGGTGTCAGATGGATTGGTGACACCTTGTTAAGGCTACAAGGGAGTCACCAATTAGATTGGAGACTCCTCATGCAGTCTGCAATCCAATTGGCGACTTGATGTTGAACTTACAAGAGAGTCGCCAATTCATCTGGAGACCCCTTGTATTTTGATTTTTTTCTTCAAAAAAATAGATACTTCCTAAAATAATTAATAAAATACGTCAGATGGGAAAATAAATGTTATCATTAGTTTAAAAAAGTATTACATAAATTAATGTTGGCGACCAGGTTGGTCATACCGGCCACCAGTTCCACATCCCCTAGGCACCCTAACTCGTTGTGTTCGTCCCCTACATTGTTGATTCATGTCTGGTGTTTGAGGAGTTGAAGTCTTAGGAACATTCTCAGATGGTTCCCGAAGGATCTCTTGCATTTCCATTAGGTCCTGTGTGTTGAAACTGAGCGTACGACCCATGCCAGAGTAGTTCGGATGTGATGAAGGGGTCATTAGTCTGCGGCCTGAACGTTTGAAGGGGGACATTGGTGTGAATGATTCGTTGGAGAATGTTGAAATGGTAGTGGTGTTTGAAAGGCATAAGGTTGTTGAGATGGTTGAGTGGGTAGGCCAGGGTATAATGTCAGAGCGTTTTGGCTATGGAAAGATGTTTTGGTGTTATGGCTATGGTATAATGTACCCTCGTTATAGCTATATCTTGATGTTGTGTTGGGTCCATAGCCATATTGAGATTCTGGGTAGTAGTCAGTGTGTGGGAGATGGTATGAGGGACATTCTTGGTAATGTGGTTGGGTGTTTGGCATGTTTGAATGGTGAATGGGTTGGTAACTCTGTTGGGTGGGGGCTGTGAGTAACATGACCTTTCTGGTGGGTTATACGTTGAAGCGTCTTGTGTGTAGGTGGTTTGGCGTGGGTCGTATAAATATCTGTCTTCGGAGACAAACCCAGTTGCAACCGATCTGTACCAAGCCATATAATTAATAGTTGGTCTAGATGGTGTTGCCATCACCGGGTCACGTAAGACATGGGCGCTGCGGGTCATCCATTTACGACGCTCAGATTTTGCAAAATCCTTATAGTTGGGAAACTCCCATCACTAGTAGAAAAAAATGCTTGTTAAGTCGGTTGAAAATGACTTTTTAAGTCGGGTCCGAAACTGAATCATTGTTTAGATTGCATGACTTTTAAATCAATGAATCATTGTTTAGATTGCATAACTTTTAATAGTGTAAAATATAATTTTGTTTTTAATTGGTATCATAATTTTTTTTCAAAACTTTTCTTCTTCATTCTCATCAAATTGCTCATTGCTCATGAAGACCATCAAATTGCTCATGAAGACCATTCATCCTTTCTTCTTCATTATCTTTAAATTTGATATGCTTCACAGACTCACCACTAGAACCCTCACCAGTACATGAATTAATATCATCTTCACATTTTCCCCCTTGTTCCTCTTTTTTGCATTCTCCATAAATGTTGCATCCCCTGTACATGGTTCAGGCTCGGTGTATATTTCAACCTCACCTTTGCATTCTTGAACAAAGGCAGCTAACTCAAATGCATCACCATCATCTCTAAATGGTTTTATATCAGTTTCTAAAGTACCATCAACATGTTTCCACCACATCCTAACCTTATTGTATTCAAACACATAATCTATTCCCTTAATTAAATCACACACCTAAAAAAAGGGCCAAGAATCACTATCTTGACCATTAAATGCATAAACTTCTCCACCATCATACTTTAGCATTGGGTCTTTTATAAAACAACCATTTGTGTAAAATATTACCTTAAAGACACTCATGCCTACATAATGGATGGAAAAAGACAGTCAACAATGGACCCACAAAATACACTTGTATGCAGAAAACCCTAATAACTAAATACACTACAAGTAAAATACAAACTCTAGACCAAACTTCAATAAAATAGAATCTAAAGTGAAACATATGGACCTACCTCAGTTTCAATGTCAAGAGACCACAAGCATGCACCTTTCAAGCCAAGGTTGGGACCACAAAGCAAACACAATGAATAATGGAGACAAGTTTCTGCAAACAAAATGAAAATAGCCAATGTGTTACTGCTACTATGTTGAACAAACTGTAAAGAATAAACAAGCACTTGAAGAAGAAAGGAATTGATTTGAGAACGAACCTTGTGCTTGAACGAAAGAATGAAAGATTATTTTAGGGTTTTTCCAATAACTATATATTCAATAACACCTAAGTGGCATAGAAAGAGTAAAGAATATGTGGCATCTGCTTAGTTAGCAACACAAGTTATCAAAATTAAAAACAATTGTCAAATCAACGTCCATGTAGGATTTTGTTAAGTGGAATAGACAGTAGGGACAAAAAATAGGGACGAGAAACTTTAGGAGGACGATTCTTTGAACAAAAATGTTCTAAGGACTAAAACTAGATTTTGAAATATTTATAGGGACTAAAAACATATTTAACTTTTAATTGTTTTAATCAAAATGTCAAGAAAAATAAATAGGAACAAATAAATAATCATTTAACTTTTATTTGATTTTATTAAAACATTTGAATTTTATTTCATTTTAATCTTTTAAAACTCATTTTGATCTCCCAAAATATACAAGGGTAATTTTGGGAGGGCATGTAATTGTGAAAACCCTAGTTGTTACTCTATGTCAACTTTTGGCCATTGGATCAAAATAATCAAAGGTTCCCATCAATCCACATGGATCCCTATCCACTTCTATCACTCTCCATAAATCAAAATGAAGAAAAGTGGAATGGAAAAATAAGAAAAAAATAAACTCCCACTTAAGGGAGATTCATCAGCTAACATGCGCCAACCTCCATTCCCATCTCTCTCTCTCCCTCTCTCAAGGTTAAAAAAATATGGAAAAATGGAAATTGAGAGAGGTCTTTTCACGTTGAAGGATAAGGACCTGCAGAAGATCCACTTATCTTGACGAAAGGGGTCCACACTCGTAAATCATTCGGTTCACTATGAGCCACACACATGTCACTATCCTCTTTCCACAAAAAACTCACACGTTAATTATCTCTCTCTCTCTCTCTCTCTCTCTCTCTCTCTCTCTCTCTCTCTCTCTCTCTTTCTATTTTCCTCAACTTCTCTCATTTTTTAAGAAAA